CAAAAATGCCTTCCTTCTGGAAATCATAAAGTATTGGCAGCTCCAAAGGGAGGAAAAGATGCAAAATTCAAATCTTATCAGAAAATGTAAATGTTCGTAAAAGCGCCATTGTGTATTTACAACATGGAAAATGTTTATAAACACATGTTTAGAATAACAAATTACTGTTCTCATAATTTCTTCTTTCATCGGCTATCTCGTACTCCGATTCATTATTTTTTTTGCAAAGATTCATAATTATTATCTTCTATATTCCTTTTCGATATGTCCAGTTCTTGATAAGTTTTCTCAACTGTGTCATCCTTTGGTCTCAATGATTGCTAATTATCTTCTTTATTCATTTTTAATGAATCCAATTCTTGATAAGTTGTATCAACAGAATTTTTCCTAACTTCAGATGGAGATTGAAATTGTTGACGTTTTTTACTTAACAAATGTTGACGATAACGCAAAAAAAATAAAATCGAGATGAAAATTCCAACGATAATTCCAGATGTTAAAGTTATTAAAATAATGTACCACTCTGTTTTGTACTGTTTTATCTCTTTTCGTCATCACAAAGAACGTTGTCTAGAGAAGAAGCATAGAACTTAAAATATGGAAAAAATCAAAAGAGTCTATCTGTATACAATACTAAAATACATATGATAATAACATTGGAGCATTTTGATTGAGCATTGGATAGATTGAATTGAACATTTCCATTAAGTCTAAGGAAAAGGTCGAGATGTTAATTGCATTGTGTGGATAGAGCTAATTGAACAGAAAGAGCTAATAGTATTTTAAACATAAATATGATTTTAAAGCATTGTAAATAAATTACCTTTCGTGTTGCAATCGGTAGATGAATATTTTGAAAGGGAAAATGATGTTGGAGATTCATATGTTAACACATTTATTGGAAATCAACTCAAATTATAATGTCAAAGAGATGAAAATGCTGACAGAATATTGAATGAAAGATATATCTATCGAAAAATGATAATAATCGACCAAATAGAACAAATCAAATGAAAGAGTGAAACTCATCTATCTCAAAATTGATGAAGTAAGATTTTATTATCATTTGCGTTCAAATGGTAACTGCCCGAATTTTTCGCGTTTGTTCACGTTTCAAACGTCACGTTTGTCAGGCGAAACGTCGGGTTTCAAATTAGAAACGTAATGTATGCTTAGGAAAGTTTAACGTTTGAGGAACAAATTGAACAGGTTTTGGTCATGTGATTAACATGTTTATACGATTTTACAATGATAAAATGCTGTAGCAACTGAAAATTACATCTGTGTACCTTAAGCGATTTGCAAAGTTTGATAATTGACCATATAATATATGAAAGAGCTGATTCAAACTTAGAAATCCGCGATTTGAACAAACGTAACGCTTACAAGATGAAACCCGACGTTTCGTCTGACAAACGTGACGTTTGAAACGTAAACAAACGCGAAAAATTCGTGACACTTAGCAGTTGATAATTTTACCTTTGATGAAAGTAGCATTTTAATTTTACCTTTGATGATAAAAAGATTGTTTACATCAGAAAAATCATTTCCCAGCTTATTTGTTGCTTCACAACGATATGAACCAGCATTACTGAAGTTGAGAGAATTAATGATGTATGTCTTTTTATTACTGATAACTGCACCATTATGATAAATAGTGTAGGTTGGTTCAGGATAACCATCTGATTCACAGGTTATTGTCACATTTTCACCTTTTTTTACTGACATTGGACTGATTGTGATATTGGTTTGTTGTGGTGGATCTGTAAAGAAGAAAATTAAATTCAATATTCTACACAAACGTTTATAATGAGATCTGAAATGCTGTCTTAATAATTCCAGTTATTTAAGCAATTCACGCCAAGTAATCTATTTAAATTAATGAACTCTAGGCAATTTACGTTTATAAACACTTTAATGATTATACTGGGGAATACAGATAAGTTAAACATATTTTTACTGATAGTCATTGAAGAATATATATTCATAAAAAATGTTATGGTTAATGCAGCATGCAGACATTGCCAGTCTTTGTTTTACCACACGAGCCAGTAAAAAGTTATGTAATCAGAGCAATCTTCGTTGTTTACTGAAATTTTATTGTTATAAGGGTATTCAAGTGCATTCAAGAAGTCTAATGCTAATTACAATAAGATAAACATCGGTCTTTCACCATTTGCTACCAAGAAAGTTCGTACATAATGCAAAATAAAAGTCCAACAAGTGATAAACTGAGGTTCTAATTTTACCTTCGTTGTTAGTGGAAGTGGATTTATATCTCGGTTGACAGTGATTTTAACCTCAGATAAATCATTTCCCAGTTTATTCTTTGCTTCACAACGATATGAACCAGCATCAATGAAGTTGACGGAATGAATTGTGTGTGTTTTTTTCATTGCTGACAACAGAGGTGTCAACCATTGTGGTAAATGGTGTAGGTTGGTTCAGGATGCCCATCTGACTCACAGGATATTCTCACATTTTGACCTTTGTGGCTGGCATTTGACTGATGGTAATATTGGTTTTTCGTGGTCGGTCTAAAAATAAAATATAATATTCACACACACCAGCTTCTACAGTAACGTATTTGAAAAACTAAAACATCTATAGCAACAAAAGTATAAATATAGAAGTTGAAGACTTACATTGCACTACTATTTCAATAGACTTCTGATCTCTAAAACGTGGATCATTATAACTTTGTGCTTTACATGTGTAAGTTCCACCATCATTCACTGCAACATTAGTGATTACTAATGTCTTATTTACAACTCCAACATCACCAATTATGTTGTTATCTTTATCAAACCATGTGACATTAGCAGGAGGGATACCTCCTTCACCTCTACATACACATGATACATTATCACTTTCATTCACAACCAGAGGAGTTGAACAATTAATTACTACCTTTGGTTTCACTGAAATTTAAAACAGAAAATATTCCTTTCTTAAATTAGTTATGAAAAAGAAAATTTATAATGAGAGTAGTCGTTAGTGTTAGGTGCATTTTTTTAGGACTGCTGGATCAATGCCCTAACCAGTCACAAGCCAGCAGAAAGCCCGCTTATCACTGGCTAAAAGTCCAGATTAGTGGAAATTTTCCACTAAACTGCTATCCAATGAGATTTTTGGATTAAATCACAGAATTGTGAAACAATTTGCTTAATAAAAATCTTATTTGTAAAAAAGACTTTGATGTTGGAAAAGAACAACAACGTAACAATAATCACTCAAACTTCAAGATACATATTAATAATAATTTTTGAAATTTTAAAGTGCACATACAGCCTTTCCAAATTCGTTGAAATTTTAAAAGTTTAGACTGTGGAAAATATGATTTCGAAAAAAATTTCGTAAAAAAAGAAAAAACAAAGTTTTTTTTGCGGTTTGAATAAGCTTGCTTTTGAGAAATTCCGCGCCCCTGAGGGGACTTAAAACGAGAGGTTTGTGACGTCATTTAAGGAACGTATGAATGCGCTGCATACAAACACAGTGTGAAATAATTTTTATATTGCTTTGAAATTAATATAAAAATTGTACGAAACATGTCCACATCTGATTCTGAGTCGAGTACAGCAACAAAAGCGGAAAATATTGAATTGAACAGTCGGGAATTCGATTTAGAAGACGAAGATCAATCGTCTTCAAATGCGCCCGAAACACCGATGGCGATTTTGAGTATGGCCAAGCTGAAGTGTATGAAAACGAACCACTTGCAGATGAAGAGTGGTTATGGATAAAGTTTCGTCTCTATTAGAGTTAGAAAACTATAAGAGACAGAAGAAAAAAGACGCCAAACAGAAGAGCTCGAACGCAGAATGCAAAATGAAGTTCCTCTTGATTCTTGGTAAGAAAAGTTGGAAATTATTTATTTATTGTTGCCGAAGCTTTTGACAGATAACTTCGTAGGTGCCATTGTGGTAACTGCCGTGTTCCTCTTGGTTAATCCAAAAGAATGTAGATGCTGCCACGAAATTGCCAATTGCATGATTGAAATGCAAGATCATATGGTGGTATCCGAATTAGGAAGGCAGCCAAAATGCATAACAGAGCATCCAGGATTTGATGCCATTTGCCTCAATCGATGGGCATTAAATTTAGCTGCCAATCTTTACCAAAGGCAAGATGGAGTTAGATATCATAAAGGATTCTTGGAGCAAAGGTTTGTTAGAATTAATAGTTCTATGTTTCTGTCTGGGTTATCTATGAATGCACACTTGCAAAATTTGTATTTTATGGACTCCTACCTGTTTATAATGGACTGTGTATTATGCCTTTTCAGGTTTTTTCGAGTTGTTGCATATAGACAATTTACAAGAATGGTACATGGCATCTTCGAGACAAAAGAATTCCACTTCCAGCTTGTGCTTAACATGTTATTAGAAAACTTTTAATTTTAAAAAAAAATGAACACTTTGCAGGGTATGAAGAGGACAATTTGTAAATAACATAACATTTGATATTATTTTAGGTGTTGTTTGCATGAGCCCAGCTAGTAGGGGATTCAGTGAAGTGTGTGAATGATTTAAGCCAATTTTGATTTATTGCATCTTCGATTCACACTTATACTTGTTATACAAAAACATACAAAATTACAATTCCTTTCTCTTTATTCTGTCCATGCAGTCAATTCACACTTCACTGAATCCCAACTAACTGGGCTCATACCACCAGGTCCTAAAAAACTGGTTACTTTCGGTTTTTTGGACAGTTCATTATATTTTTATGGCCTTTCATCCAATTCTTGCACACAATGCATCGAGGTGCTGCTCTCTCATTTCTCTGATTAGTGATTATTTCTTGGACAGGTGATACTCAGCTATATCAAACAATAAAGTGAGTCAGTTCCAAAATAAAGATTCAAATTAACTCAAAGCAAGTGATGTCTTTTGTAAAACCTGGCTTAGTTGGGGAAATGTACAGCCGGCATGCTTTTTCTTCTTGCTTTTTGAGATAGCTTCACTTTTGATTGCTTGTCCAACATAGAATCTACATTGGCAATGGAGTCATTCAAAGATCACCTTTGGCTTTTTCAATGTTTCCTCATCACTGAGTGCAGAGCACAACACTTGATATATATCTTCAACATACCCTGGAGGAGCAATGTGCAAATTATTCAAAATTTTATTTTATAGTAATCATTTCTTATTAAGACTTTGATTGTTATGGCATTTAACACATGATATCAGGCAGTAGGAGAAATATATTAAATAACCTTACCAAAATCCTGAGCAACTTTTACATTTCTTACAACAGCTTCACCATTTATAAATTTTGGATAATGTTTTTTAACCTGGGGAACTCCATTATCCCTGTCCAAATTGCTTTCGAAGTGAGTTACAACAAGGATATGCCTTCATGAAATATAAAATTGCATTCAATTTCTTGAAAGAGAAATTGCACAAGGGAATAAAAACTGTAATGATACATAGGTGTTTCATCACACATGTTTCATAGATTACCTGCAGAACATTTCAGGAAAAGAGTAGCTGATCATTCTGATAATACAGGCTCATCACAAGTTATTTCTTCTATTTGCTCTTGAGGTTCGCTACTTGTACTGAGAATATTTTCTGATTCAACCTCTCTTTTATAATCAGACATCCACATTCTTTTCATCTAAAATGGCATATATTTATGAAATATACTCTCACACAGATTCCAGGTAAAATGTAAATATGCATATGTATAATTTTAACGTACTCACCATTCTGCGATCTCTTGTTGTAAGTTCATTGTCATCTTTTCGAGGATAAATGCTCGGGTAAGCAACGATTCCGAATTCGTCTTGAATGAGTCGAGGTGCAAAATTACTTTCTGATTCAGAAAGCGAGCCGAATTGCCGAGAAAGCGAATCTTTCGTGAAGTGTTCCGAGCAAACTGCGGAATTCTTTGTAGGGACCAACTTATCGCGAGTAGCTTTCACAAAGTTGACCCATCGCTTTCTCCTACGCTTAGCTTCGCTTCTTTCGTCGTTAAAAAATGGTATGCGATGAAGTGAAATGCCTTTCTCCGAACTGGCTACGTTAGAACAACCAAAAACTACACATCGATCTGGCATTTTTGTGTTTGTTTACATGCATAAACAGTGTAAGTTGTTTTGGTAGTCAGTCTGTGTTCCTTAAATGACGTCACAAGTAAGTCCCATGCCACGGATTAGAGCTCTCGACATTTTTTACAAAACGTTGAAATTTAGGTTTTATTCGCATCTTTGCCGAAAGATAACTCAAAAACGAAAAAAGTTATTCAAATTCTGTAAACGGCATTTGTATTATTTATCCAAAATCTATTTGAGAATAAAAAACTAAAAATAGCTGTATGTGCACTTTAAAAGTCAATCGCGTGACCGACTAGACATAAACAATATTGACTTATTATGAAGCCTAAACAACTATCGTTGGTCTTCGAAGAGCTATAAACAAATCATAGTCGTCTAAGGCTCTTGATAACCTATTTAATGAGGATATGCAATCGGCAAAGTTAAAAGCTAGGTGACGACAGATGCATACGTCAGCGCAGCAGGCAGCAAAGAGGGCATTGATGCCTAAATGTCAAACGTTTATAATGAGATCTGAAATGCTTTCTTATAAAACTTACAAGTAGGTTTCACTGTTACTTCTATTGGGATATAAACGTATTATTAGAATAATATGATACCGGAAATTCATATCTATAATGATGATACATGATTGGATAATTAATCATGGACTTTGGCACTAACACTTATATATATATATATTAGGTTCTTTGTCTTGTTGACATTCTATATCTTTTAGTATTCTTATTCTGTTCTATTGCATTGCACGTTGTATTTGGTTATGTTATATTAAAATGGTTACTTAAACATTATAATTCTAATAGGTTATGGGCCCAGGACGCAAACTGTCCTACTAAAGATAAGTAATTTAAAACTTAAGCAATGTCTTTTTCGGATAGCGCTCTTAAGTTCGCAAAATTGAATGGCACGAACTACCGGTCATGGGCTTTCAACATGCGGTTATATTTGGAAAGCATGGACTTGTTTGAATTCGTCGAAGGTAGTGCGATTGCTCCTAACGACGATGCCGGTGCTGATGTTCGAAGGAGATTCAATTCCTCCGCGAAAAAAGCATGGACGTATATTTGCTTGGCTATCGAGCCGGATCAGCAAGTGCACGTGAGAGAAACGATAACGGCAAAGGAAGCATGGGACGCTTTGAAAAGTCAATTCGCCAGGGAATCGTTACTTCAAAAGGTTCGTCTTCGCCAGCAATATTATTCGTCAAAATTTCATGTTGGAGGGAATATGTTGGACCATATAAACAACTTAAAATCATTACACGAGCAACTAAAAGAAATGGGCGCAAGTATCGATGATAAGGAACTGGCAATGACCCTGTTGGCTAGTTTGCCAGATAAATATAAACCATTAATAACGGCATTGGATGCTGTTGGTGAGAATGAACTTTCTTATGAGAAAGTGAAAAACATGATACTAAATGATGAAGACAGAGCCAAAGATTCCGAGACCAGAAAAGAGGATGCATTTTCCGTGCAACGTAACAAGTTTCGAGGTGGGAAACAACGCGGTGGTCAGAATGAGAACATTTTAATCGAAAGAAAGGCTTTCGTGGCAAGTGTTTCATTTGTGACGAGAAAGGGCATCTAGCAAAAGACTGTCCGCAGAAGAAGACGAAGCAGTTTCCAAACAGTGGCAACTCTTCAATCAATAAGGGAAACAAGTCTGCTCAGCTTGCAGAAAACGAAGAAAATAGCGAGATCGATAATGGTGATGCGTTGATTTCAAATTCATCAAACATTACAAGGAATTCAGATTGGATTATCGACTCCGGTGCAACGCAGCACATGACTTACGATTTGGAAGGCTTATGCAATTACGTAGAATTTAAGCAACCGTGTAGTAAACCTTGGAGATAACCGCTCTATTTTAGCGTATGGCAAAGGAACTTATAAGGTAAAAGCTATTCTTGGCGACGGAAACAAAACATCTCGTTGCAGGATGTATTGTATTTACCTGACATAAATAGAAATTTATTATCTGTTCGAGCGATGATAAGACTTGGAGCTATTGTTACTTTCGAAAACGATGTTTGTAACATTCGACGAAATTCAAAACTGTTAGCAGTGGGAGAACTACAAGGAAAACTGTACATTTTGAAAATTGTCGAGCATTATATGAATGTTGCAAAAGAACAAAGCTTTGATTCAGATTTGAATTTATGGCATTGCAGATTGGGACATCTTGGAATAAACAATGTAATGAAACTCGTCGAGAATGATATGGTCGATGGAATAGGCAATGTAACAGGTGAAAATCAGTTTTGTGAAGCTTGTGTGTTGGGAAAACAGCATCGTTGCTCTTTTCCAAAAGGCGTTTCACAACGAGCTAAGGAACCGTTCGAAATTAAACATAGTGATGTATGTGGACCGATACAAGAGAATTCCATTGGTGGATCTCGATATTATGTCTCCTTTATCGATGACTACACCAGATATGTACAAGTATACTTTTTGAAGAACAAGAGTGAAGTTTTGGAAAAATTTAAAGAGTTTTTCAACTATGCAAAGAATATCTCTGGTAAGCAAGTTAAGATTATACGCACAGACAACGGTGGTGAGTATCAATCAAAAGAATTTGAGTCGTTTTTAAAGGACAATGGCATCACACATCAAACAACTGTTCCGTATAACCCAGAGCAAAACGGAGTTGCAGAACGGATGAATCGTACGATAATGGAATCAGCAAGAACTATGTTGATGCACTCACGTCTACCCAATAAATTCTGGGCTGAAGCTGTAAATACAGCAACTTATCTTCCAAATAGAAGTCCAACAATTGCTTTGGACGGTATAACTCCTTATCAGTGTCTATTTGGGATAAAACCTGATGTAAGTAATCTGAAAGTGTTTGGCTGCATAACATATATGCACATTCCTAAAGAGCAAAGGAAAAAGTTGGATGCAAAATCTCTCAAGACGATTTTCATGGGTTATCCTGATGGGACGAAAGGGTTTAAGGTATTTGATCCAATATCGAAGAAGTTTTATAAAAGTCGTGACGTTATGTTTCTAGAGCAGCAATTTTATAACTTTGAAAACAAACAGCGTGAGCAAAGACTCATTGAAGATGAAGAAAATCGTGATGTACATGATGTTCATGCAAATAGCAATGATGAAAGCCAATCAATAGAAGATTGAAATGCTGAACATGAAAACGGTAATGTTGATGCAAGAGAAGTAGATGATTGCAATCGAGTGGGAGAAAATTCTTACGAAGAGAAATTCATGAATGAGGTTAGACAACTCAAAGGTGAAAGGATACGAAGAGCACCTCAAAGATTCGACGAAGAATGTTACACAGTCAGCGACTTAACTGCAGACATCAGTGAGCCCAACAATATAAAAGAAGCAACAACTGGAGAACATGCGAATGAATGGAAGAACGCGATGATCTCAGAATACAATTCGTTGAAAGATAATCATACTTGGGATTTAGTACCTTTACCAGAAAACAAAATGTAATCGGGAGTAAATGGGTTTACAAAGTAAAAAGAAAAGCTGATGGTTCAATTGAACGATTTAAGGCAAGATTAGTTGCTCAAGGTTATGCTCAATCATATGGAGTAGATTACGAAGATGTGTTTGCTCCAGTGGCAAGATATAATACGATCAGATCATTATTGGCTGTGGCAACCATGTGTGATTGGGAAATACATCAAACAGATGTAAAAACTGCATTTCTTCAAGGAGAATTGGAGGAAGAAATCTATTTACGGCAGCCTGATGGTTTTGTTGACAAAGATCATCCTGAATATGTTTGCAAGCTTAATAAAAGTATATATGGGTTAAAGCAAGCTGCAAGGTGCTGGAATGCCTCTATCGATAAACATTTGCTTTCAAATGGGTACAAGAAAAGTTCAGCAGATCCTTGCGTATATGTCAAATCCGTAAAGTCCAAAAATGGCAAGATTAACTTTGTCATAATCGCAATATATGTTGACGACATGCTCCATTTCTCCAATTCTATTGAGATGTTGAAAAGAAAAGTCAGGAATTGCAAATAGATTCCATGTTGAAGATCTTGGTGAGATTCATTATGTGCTGGGATGAGTATAAAACGAAATCGAAGATTGCGAACATTAACCATTAATCAGGAGAAATATCTACAAGGAATACTGAAAAATTCGACATGCAAAATTGTAAAGCAGTCTCAACACCACTTGAATTTGGAAAGAAGTATGAAGTGTTAAGTGAAGGTGAGAATCCAGTTAATGTGAAGCAATATCAAATGGCAATTGGATGCTTAAACTATGCTACATTGATAAGTCGACCCGATTTAGCTGTTGCAGTTGGAACTTTATCAAAGTTTATGGCAAAACCAGGACTAGAGCATTGGAGAGGAGTTAAAAGGATCCTACGTTACATTCAAGGTACATTGGATTATGGTCTACAATTTACCACAGATGGCAATGATCCAATATTGTCAGGATATACAGATGCAGATTGGGGTGGAGATATAGTGACACGTCGATCTACTACAGGGTACGTATATCAAATTAATGGGAATACTGTGAGTTGGTGCAGCAAAAGACAGGGATGTGTTGCAAGATCAACAACAGAAGCCGAGTATGTATCTTTAAGTACAGCATGCCAAGAAGGAGTCTGGTTGAGAAAACTACTGGATAGTATCTCAATAATACAACAAGAGCCTACTATCATCTATGAAGACAACCAAGGGGCTATTGAGCTATCAAGAAATCCGAAATTCCACTCTCGGACAAAACATATAGATGTGGCATACCACTATGTGAGAGAGAAAGTTCACGAGAATATCATTTCTGTTAAATATTGTTCCAGTGAGAATATGCTAGCGGATATATTTACAAAAGGACTTAGTAAAGATACTTTTCAGAAATTCAGGAACATGTTAGGCATTATCAAGATTAAAGAACAATGAACATTCAACTGATTCAAGTATAATCATTAAGTGGGAGTATTGGGATATAAACGTATTATTAGAATAATATGATACCGGAAATTCATATCTATAATGATGATACATGATTGGATAATTAATCATGGACTTTGGCACTAACACTTATATATATATATATTAGGTTCTTTGTCTTGTTGACATTCTATATCTTTTAGTATTCTTATTCTGTTCTATTGCATTGCACGTTGTATTTGGTTATGTTATATTAAAATGGTTACTTAAACATTATAATTCTAATAACTTCAATAGATTTTTCATCTCTAAAACGTGGATCATTATAACTTTGTGCTTTACATGTGTAATTTCCACCATCATTCACTGTAACATTAGTGATTACTAATGTCTTACTTACAACTCCAACATCACCAATTATGTTGTTATCTTTATCAAACCATGTGACATTAGCAGGAGGGCTACCTCCTTCACCTCTACATACACCTGACACATTATCACCTTTATTTACAACCAGAGGATTTGAACAACTAATTATCACGTTTGGTTTTGCTGAAAACAAAAACAGAAAATTTTCAGTCAATATTCAAAATAAAGAAAATGAACATATGGTGAAAGGGTAATTGATAAAAAAAATCAAGTTTGTTTAGACATAACAACCCCCATTAGGAATTTAGGAAAGCAACATTTTACATAACTTCAATAAGTTTTATTGACTATAGGAGAGCAATTGCCATGGTGAATGGACTGAAACCAAATAAAAAACCACGAAACCCAAGATAAAACCGAGAAAAAAACTAACCAGAAAAAAACAAAGAAAAAATCAAGAGTTCGGAAAAGAACTGTTTTAGAAAGTTAAGACACAGCAAAACAAATTGATCAAATCCTCCAACCGTTTGACAGAGGAGTGCATATCAGGCAATGGCGCGTTGTCAAAGGTCGGTAGGTATGAAATTATTGATGCTTTAACTTGTAAGCAAGTAAACAATGAGAAATTATAAGTTGGACTATACATCCACTGTTCAAACACATTTTTGGTAGGAGTGCATCACAACTCATTGATCGATACACATCCTGTAAAAGAAGAACTTGAAATGGTAAATCCATCCTTGTAGCCACAAATGACCTTTTCATTACATACATATGTTGTTTGTCAAATGGATGTTTAAACGTCTGAAATCAAGTGGATTGAAAGAGCAAGAAATGCAAAGTCTAGCGTGGTTAATATCGAACGCAGTTACAAATGCTGCATGAGATTGGTAAGTGACCTTTACCATCTTCATTGTAAGACTAGTCGCAAAATTCATAGAAACCATCGCTATGCTTCTGACCGTGTACTTGGTGTGGCAAATAGAAGATTGCCATTCATTGAAATCAACGAAAGTTCAGACAGTGGAAGTATAAAAAAGTGATGAAAGAACTTCATTGGCTGATTTCACTTACGAAAGTTTGTGGCAAAGTCAAATAAGGACATTCGGTAAAACGAATAAGCAGAGTAAAACGACGAGCGGAACATATATAAGTAAACAGGTACAACAAAAACATTTCAATATAGGAATACTGGAGACAAGACACCGAAACAAATACTGAAGACATTATTGAAGCCAGCTGACTATTCAACAACATGCAAGATCATACCAAATAGTGTTTTTCATAACATGTGCTGTCATTTGAATTATGCTGACTTAGGGTCTGAAAATGAATTGAAAAGCCACAAAGAAAGAGTAAATATTTCTTTCAAACGGATTTCCAAAGAAATTATTAATTTAAGCAAATTGCTTTTATCTACAAACGAAACAGAGAGGTCTCATTTTGGACGTGCCAAGTACCCTGTATTCATTAGGCTACAACAGAAGAGCAACGCTTCAAATAATATTGAAAACAAAACTAAGAGCATGGTGCTTTTTATTGTGACGTCAAAGAGGTCGTTGAACAGCATGAAGAATTCAACAACACCTTGAAGAATATTTTACCTTTGACGAGACTATCACGAGACTATCACGAGACTATCCAGATTCTGGTTTTGTAAGTGTTGATCTTGTCTTTGCATTTTAGCCATTTCTTCTGTGTTGAAGACTAAAACTTCACTTACTTTCCTGATTGTGGACAGCAGGCTTGAATCTATATTCAACTCTCTCTTTTGTCCAAGAAGAACATGCTTTCAAACCGGTTGAAAATTACATTTTACCTTCTTTAGGCGAGGAACTAAGAAATCGTTGAGATATGAATGGCTCGCACATTTTTTTTGGCTGTGTTATTCATCAAAAGAAGATCGTGTTTATTGCTTATGATGTGTTTTTGGACACAAATTCCCAAGTAAATGCTCAAGACTAAATGTTCACCCTTTCGTCATTGGAATGATGCTGTAGGTAAATTTAGGCGACATGTTGGAACTTACATGGGAGGAAAATGGAACCACATGTTTCTACTTCTCCAATTTTGGATAATGAACGATCTCAATTGTCAGGTGTAGCTTGGAAAACGTACAATGGGCCTTTTCCGACAACATCGTCAAAACACTGAAGCATGTATCATTTCCAGGATTTGAAAATATTAAAGTTAATCTTTGTATTTTAGGTAATGAATGTGAGACATAAATTTCAGCACTGAGGAATCTAAGAACCTATCAAAGGAGCTTTATGATAGAAGAGCTTTTAATTTGCTTGGCTTTGATGCAAATTTATGCAGAAATTATTTCTGACATTGAAAGTGTGATTAACAAGTTTGCTGAAGATAATATCTGTTTATTATTTTCTAAATGTGTCATTGATATTTACTTTCCTGCAGAAACTCGGAGAGCACAAATGTCTGCTATAATGCACTTTAGGAATTCAGACTCTGAAGATGACTACCGCTAAGGTTGTCGAAACGTCAGTCAGCAACAACAAAAACAGTCTTTCTCAGGACTATGCCAACCTGGACGATCTACATTTACAAACATGTAACGATACTCCCGGGTTCAAACCATTTACTTTGTTAAAACAAATGTCTCGACATCAACCACGTGCGCGCGAAATTTTGCTTCTTTATCATAAAGTTCGGTGCACGTTTCATTTTCTTTCGTCTTGTTTCCGTTATCTTTGGCAGATCTTTCTGGTGGAATATCTTTTCTTTCGTTTCATCTGTTTTGGGCAAATTCAGAATCAAGCTTTTAACATCAACATCTGTAAGCGTGGATAGACTGTTCTTTGTTCGGCGAGACATAATAGTGATATTACCAGTTGATCAATTGATATCAAATTTTATACCACAAAAATCAAAAGTGGTATCAATAACTAATTTTTTTGTCCTATACTCAAATGTAGTAAAATCTGTGATACAAACACTTTAACATAGATTATTCAAATCAAAAGATACCCTATAGTTTCTTTTTTAAATTAAAACAGAACAAAACAAGTCTTCGTATTTGTCTTCGCTCAACGGCTCAAGTATTTAGCTATAGGATTCCAGACTGCGGTCATATATCGTATAATTACGCCCGATGCTACAGCTACTCAGATTACATGAAAGGCTTGGATAACCCCGCTGCTAAGTTTAAAATAATTAATACAACTTACTTGCAATAAACACTTCAACAGATGAGCCAAAGGGATCAGGAGCATGGATAGAAAATTTATAAACACCAATGTAACTTTGAGTAACATTCTTTAACATTAGAGTTGCAGGTTTAAAAACTTCAACATCTAAACCCAAAGACTTAAGGACTGATGTACGATAATGTGGTTTTTTATCATCAATTATTCTTACAATTACTTGAGCTGCAGAAGAAGGAGTGTCAAATGTCCTAAAGGTCCAGCTCCGAAAAAGAAAGTTTCCAATCTTATTTAATGTCCAAGTTATATTGTGAGAAGATCCAGGCAAAAATACAAATTTTTGACCATCAGGTGGAGATATTATTGTTCCTGAAATTGAAATTTAGCTAATATCTATGACTGATAAAAAGATAGTTTAGGTAAAAAATACATCTTCTACTAACATAACAAAAGTAATTGATGTTTTTAATTCAGGTTCTATTCAAAAATTGCGAATAAAAAATAAACTAATTAAATATTACTACTACAACAACTAAAAATACATCAAAAATCATTTAAGTAAAAAAAAGAAATGGATATTTGAAGTTAAATACCTTTGGCAAGACCAAGAAATGTGATCAATGTAACAGTCGAAAATACTAAATTTGTCTTTACCATTTTCACTAAAAAATTAAATGATGAATTTTAATGCTTATGATCTTTGAAAATAAAATCATGAGTCAACATGGTTAGTGCTGTGAAAATTCCAGTTTTCCAGCTGCGGCTTATCAATTCTGAACTGGTAAAAATAGTCGGCGCTGTGGCCCATCTCCTGTGCACAGAACTAAACATGGTGCATCAAAATAAATAGTAATTTCTACTCGTAAATGGGCAACATTTTGCGTAGCAATATGTTCGATTAATTCTACTACAGAAATATCTTTATCATTGCAATAAATTTTTTGCGTTTTAATTTGCTTTATAAAATAAAAACAGTAAAACATGTGCGCTGATTGGTCAAAGGCTGAGTTTGCATTAGCCTGGGTAAACTGATTTTAGCTGAACCTCAATCAATTAAAGAGATTTTGTGAACCATTCACTAATGAACTTTGTGAAAAGAGAAAGGTTACATTAGCAAACAAGTTACCCAACGTGAAATTGCTTTATATGTAGCATTTACATGTGTGCTAGGGTAACCCTGAGGGTTAAGGTTTCCATATCAAATTGATAAGGTTACCACAACAGTTGAGTTATGTTTTTGTCATAAACCATAAAATGTTTGAGATAAGGTAATCCCTTTCAGTAGAACTATGTTCACATCATATCTAAAATAAAAACAACCCCCTGAACAGATCACAGCAATTACAGGCACGTTACAAACGACTTATTCACAATACAAACAAACGATCAACCAAAAACATTACACTTCAAACTAATTCACAATGACAATACACAATTGACACCCACACATTACAACTAAAAACGTCACACCTAATTCACACATCACAATAAAATATTTCACTTCACACTAATCCACAATGACAATACACATTTCCTGTACACACAATACAATGACGTAGGAACCAGATAACAAATACGGCTAACCTGACGTTTACTCCTCATTTGACTCTGAAGATGACTACCGCTAAGGTTGTCGAAACGTCAGTCTACAACAACAAAAACAGTCCTTCTCAGGACTTTATTAACCTGGACGATCATCAATTACAAACATATAACGATACTCCCGGGTTCAAACCATTTACTTTATATCTAAAATAAATTGCTTTCAAAGCATAAAATTATACACAAGATGCACTACATGATTTTACAGAGACAAACAATAAAACTAGAGCTATCCACCATCTACAAGGAAGTTTTCAAGATGGCAAAGAAGGTTTTTATTCTATGAATGTTAAGTCGTCATTGAAAAAAAAAACACTCAATGTGAACATAATATAATGAAAATGAATTTGAAACGATTTTCAGAGGTCTTACACTGAATTATGGATCTTTATAAATAGGCCTCAAGGAAGGCAAAATGTTTCATCTGCAATCATGTCTACAACATGCTGATGTTGCTGTCATTAATAGTAATACACAGACCTGTCAATGGTAGAGTCTCCCTACACAAAAAAATAGCCTTGCAAGTATGGTTACACTAATCCCATGTAAACAAGGCCCTTATTAGTTTGGTAACTAAACAATACAACAGGAAGTCCAAAAATATTTTCAAGAATCAAAGAAGAAATGAAACGCAACATACTCATTTAATATTTAATGTAGTGTTTCGTCTTGGTCTTTTAAAATTATGAAATTCAAAATGCATCAAAATTCTTAAAAAGTTTTGTTTAAAGCGACGTTAAGGTAAAGAAATCTTCATCAAAGCATACCAATACAAAAAGCTGTTGTATTTTTACGTATACACTTGTGTACCATATTATTGAAGGTTTTCACGAATTCAGACTAAAGCCTGGGCCACACTATCGTCTATATTGACGAAAACGAAAACGAAACGAAAATTCGTGCACGAAATGCATGCCAGACACGACGAAAAATTACAAGCATGTTTGCAAAGCCAAAACTTTTTTGGCCAATAAGCAAGCGGCATTTTTGACGGATTAGAAAAAATAGCGATCTCTAAAAGAAAAAGATTACTTTTTCTTAAGAAAAAGTTACTGCCTTTAAAGTTGAAAACAAGCAACAGCAAACGTCGATACTGGATTCGTCCAATTAATAAACGAGAGCCGAACAATGAAAATAGACACATAAAATACTTGCGAATGACGACGACAAATTTTGACTACATTTTGGATTCATTAAATGAAGATATGATCTTCGCACTTTGTTGTACAATTTAAGCAATTGTCTCATAAACCTGAAAAAATCAGGTGACTCAACGGGAATCGAACCCATGACCTCTGCGGTGCCGGTGCAGTGCTCTGACCAACTGAGCTATGAAGTCACACAGTGGTGAGCAGCTCAATTTTGTTGGGCTCATGTTTTCTCGTGAAATGAATGAATGACATTGTCATGGGTTCGATTCCCGTTGAGTCACCTGATTTTTTCAGGTTTATGAGACAATTGCTTAAATTGTCCAACAAAGTGCGAAGATCATATCTTCATTTAATTTCAAACACCGCACTGCATAAAACATTCATTTTGGATTCAATTAGACCTCACATCACTAAAGTTGGCACACATCTTAGAAAATCTATTAGCCCTGATTTATCAAAACCTCTTGCCACTCCGCCATGTTTGAGTACAAAGTCTGATATTATTAGCCAATAGTATGCGTTTTCGTTAACGAAAAAGGTCAAAAGTTTAATTCTTCTAATATGCACGAAAACGAAATTTTCGTCGAGTTTTCGTTCAAAATTTTCGTTGCGGCAGTTTTCGTTCTGATTTTCGTCGATATGGACGATAGTGTGGCCTAGGCTTAAAACTTATTTTCTTTCACAAACACAATTTTAGTATTGGCTAATTTTAGTTTGAACTAAGAATTCTCGATAAGAGATTCGTTTCAATAGCGCCTGTCGAATGCCATGAATATTTACGCCAAAACTTTACAGCAAAACAATATTTTCATTCAAGACAACAAGGACAAGTACGCTATTCCACTAAAAATACAGCAAAACGTAACATACCCATGTAATTTGGTTTTCTTCCGTGAGAATTTCAGAAAGACTCAATTTCCTGCTTCGCAACGTATGACGTACGTGAAGTTATGGCACGCCAAACAAAAGTGTATCGAGAATTCCAACCACTAGTCGAGAATCATAAGTGACATATGAGAAGAGCAAGCACGTGTTGAGAAAATCAACCATACGTCGAGATTTCTGACTGGCAAACTGGACAGCGGTTGCGAAACGTATATTATAAATACTTCGTGCCATGCATATAACATAACATGGTCTTCAGGAAACAATGGATGAAGAAAAACTACCGTGAAATTGGCACCACCTTGGGCACCACAATCAACACAACATTCATACAACATTCATCACCACATTCAACTAAAATTTATCATTCAAAATGATAAATCGAAAAATCGTCTTTAAAACACGTTTTCCATCAAATACAACAGTAAAAACAATTCTTAAATGTTTTTTACTATTTTACTGTCCTTAACCATCACAAAGAAAGTATAAAAGTCAAGAAATTGAAGAAAACACTAAACTTTAGGTTACAGTGTACTTTTCATTTCCCTTAATTAGCGTATAATTTAAAAACTACACGGTAGAATTTTTTTAAACTTGGCCAGAATATAGATAATTATATTTTCTAAAATATATCAAAATCTGGAGAGTGCACAAAAAAATAAGTTGTAGAAAATCATCGGCAAAGTCGGATTACAAGATTACGCGTAATATAATCTAATATAATTAACTTCCTATATCCAGGTAACTTTGCAAACAAAGGCCTATAAATAAAAAACCACACGGTAGAATTTTTTTAAACTCGGTCATATTGTAGATATTTTTATTGCCTAAAATATATCCAAAATATCGTAAAACAAGATTTTTTCGTTTTGTACTTTGCGGAAGTACTAACGTACTTTCCACTGTGATACTAAACGGGCAACTTCTTAATCCACAGAAAACTCAGTGAAATGTCAATGAAATTATTTACAAATGGACTAATCAGTCAATTTTTGATAACATATTAAATGAACGGTGTGATACTTAACACATTTCTTGAATAAATCGGCTAATTTTACTCTTTTAAAATTATTTCCGGGTTCATGGTGTGCAAATATTTATTTCATTGTTCATCGTCAAAATTGTATAAAGGCCAGTTAGGCCAATGAAGTTCATTTTCGTATTCTCACTATTTTGTGTAACATTGCATAGTACATGTTGTCTTTATGATTAAAACCATAGATATTATATATAAATTATAAAACATAATGACCGAAGAAGGTTGTATAACCAGACTACTGAACCAGACCCGAATACAAAGGATGGGGTGCTACTTCTTGGTGTGCAAGTGCAACCGCCATGTTGCATGATTTTAATAAAGGATTTTTCTTATTTACCACACATAATTCATCCAACATGGCGAGCATTTCATTTTCTCTTACTCCCATAGAATTGATGCACACCCACCTTATAGTAAAAATATTTACAGCTGTTTCTTGGGTTGGGATGCCCAGAAACACATCTAGCTAAGACAAGACGAGACGAAACTAGACTAGAACACTAATTGTGAGGGAGGGTGAATATTCATGTACTAAGCTCTTTCCTGCTACTTTCTTTTGTTGGCGATTTTAATTTCAAAAGATATCATGGGCCGGTTGCACGAAGCCTAGATAGCAATTTTTTCAAACTTTTATAAAACCTTTTAAAAAGCAAAAAATATAAAATTCGAACTGAGCACTCACTGAAAAGTCTGAAATAAATATTGTTTCGAAGATTATAAAATTTCTTTGTCTTAAGTAAAATATAAACACCTTTTTTACAAATTTGAAAATTTTTGCTATCCAATGGATAGCGCTATCCAGGCTTTTGCAACTGGCCCCAGCAGGGCAGTGCTGAATATATGAATATTCTCCTACCCTCACTTTATAAAAGAAAAAAACAATGGAATGTTTGCCTTTAGCCGATACTACAAGGTCAATATTAACACTAAGCTTCAAAGGATTGGACACAGCACTGGGGGAAGGCTTAGCCCACAACAGAATCTAACCAAAAGTTTTTGCCATTCTTTGCGAATGCTCCATTACTTAATAACTGCTGACTAAAATATCAAAGAAAAACATCTTTAGGCCTTTGAATGTAAATGTATTATAAAGTTAAAGTTATTGCTCTTGTTGTTTTAGCATTCAAATCGACAATGAAATATCAAAACGTTAACAATTTTATTGTTGCTCCCGAATGATGGAGGTTTTTGTACGTCTGGAGCATTGCGATATTAGACACTTGGGATTCTCCACTACATTTGTTTATATTTCAAGTATTAAGACGTTAAATTTTTTAAAGGTCCCCACATTTTTGAGGCTCTCTTTGTGTTGTCGAACACCCCACTAGCACTGTATTAAAAATGAGACCATATAAACTGTAAATAATTTTTGTTACGATTGGCGCTCCATAGTAGATCACTAAAGGTGTTCTTAACTATCCAACTATGGTCATCTCTTAACTAGATGGGTCTCAAGGCATTCCCTAATCAAAGACAAATTTTGAAATTTGCGATTTAGGTTCATCAGAAATAAGATTTTGTGATTTTTCAGGGCCTTTTCGTGATCCTTTTCTAAACAATTTGGTATACACAGGAAACAAGTCAGGAAGGCAGGTGTACAGTAAGATAAATAGAAAATACTTATTCAAAAACAGTATTACCATACACTGTTATCAAAAACAACTAATGAATGAGTCAGAATGACCAGTGTACTTTCCTATCAAAAAATGGCTTCCTTCTGGAAATCATAAAGTACTAGCAGCTCAAAAGGGAGGAAAACATGCAAAATTCAAATCTTATCAGAAAATGTAAATGTTCGTAAAAGCACCATTGTGACTTTACAACATGGAAAATGTTTATAAACACATGTTTAGAATAAATTTATGATTTTCTTGAAAACAAATTACTGTTCTCATAATTTCTTCTTTCGTCGGCTATCTCGTACTCCGATTCATTATTTTTTTGCCAAGATTCATAATTATTATCTTCTATATTCCTTTTCGATATGTCCAGTTCTTCATAAGTTGTATCAACTGTGTCATCCTTTGGTCTCAATGATTGATAATTATCTTCTTTATTATTCATTTTTGATAAATCCAATTCTTGATAAGTATTATCAACAGAATTTTTCCTAACTTCAGATGGACATTGAAATTGTTGACGTTTTTTATTAAACCAATGTTGACGATAACGCAAAAAAAATAAAATAGAGACGAAAATTCCAACGATAATTCCAGATGTTAAAGTTATTAAAATAAGATACCATTCTGTTTTGCACTGTTTTATTCTCTCATTTTGGTCATCACAAAGAACGTTGTCTAGAGAAGAAGCATAGAACTTAAAAATATGGAAAAAAATCAAAAGAGTTTATTTGTATAGAATACTAAAATACATATGATAACAAGATTGGATCATTTTGATTGAGCAATGGATAGATTGAATTGAACATTTCCATTAAGTCTAGGGCAAAGGTCGAGATGTTAATTGCATTGTGTGGCTAGAGCTAAAGTTTGCTATAAAAGAGCGATTTGCTTAAATTTCTTTTAAGGATTTTTATCATCTCAGGTAGCGCATGCAAATTGAACAGAAAGAGCTAATAATATTTTAAACATAAAAATGATTTTATAGCATAGTAAATAAATTATCTTTTGTGTTGCAATCAGTAGATAAATATTTTGAAAGGAGAAATGATGTTGGAGATACGTATGTTAACAAATTTACTGGTTGGAATTCTAGCCCAAACTTAAATGAAAAATGCTAAAATAGCTACACAGAAATCAACTCAAATTATTGGTTTGTTGTGGTGGATCTGTAAAGAATAAAATTAAATTCAATATTTTACACAAACGTTTATAATGAGATCTGAAATGCTGTCTTACAAACTTACAAGTAGCTTTCACTGTTACTTCAATAGATTTTTCATCTGTAAAACGTGGATCATTATAACTTTGTGCTTTACATCTGTAAGTTCCACCATCATTCAATGTAACATTAGTAATTACTAATGTCTTACTTACAACTCCAACATCACCAATTATGTTGTTATTTTTATCAAACCATGTGACATTAGCAGGAGGGTTACCTCCTTCACCTCTACATACACATGACACATTATCACCTTCATTCACAACCAGAGGAGTTGAACAATTAATTACCACATCTGGTTTAACTGAAATTAAAAACAGAAAATATTCCTTTCTTAATTTAATTATGAAAAAGAAAATTAATAATGAGAGTAGTCGTTAGTGTTATGTGCATTTTCTTAGGAGTATTGGATCGATGCCCTAAGCAGTCACAAGCCAGCAGGAAGCCCGTTTATCACTCGCTAAAAGTCCAGATCAGTGGAAATATTACACTAAACTGCTATCCAATGTGATTTTTTGCACTAAACCGCTGCATTATTAACCAATTTGCTTAATAAAAATTTCATTTGTAAAAAAGACTTTGATGCTGGAAAAGAACAACAAAATAACAATAATCACACAACTTTCAAGATGCATATTAGTAATAAATTTTGAAACTTTGAAAGTCCATCGCGTGACCGACTAGACATAAACAATATTGACTTATTATGAAGCCTAAACAACTATCGTTGGTCTTCGAAGAACTATAAACAAATCATAGTCGTCTAAGGCTCTTGATAACCTATTTAATGAAAATATGCAATACGCAAAGTCAACAGCTAGGTGACGACAGATGCATACGTCAGCGCAGCAGGCAGCGAAAGGGGTATATGAGGCGTAGGCTTAAGAGTCAATCATAATTGGGAGTGGTAGTCTTTCAGCACAACGAATCTAAATCTCGCAAACAAGGAAAAATATATAACTATCTTCATTGTTTAGCACAATCTTGTACTATCGTGTACAAATGGGATGAAACTGAACAGTCGTAATTTGTTCATGTACAATGTAGAATACTAGCCCAAAAATTGATGAAGTAAAATTTTAATTTTACCTTTGATTATAGTAAGATTTTTAACATCAGATAAATCATTTCCCAGTTTATTTTTTGCTTCACAACGATATGAACCAGCGTGATTGAAGTTGACAGATTGAATGATGTATGTCTTATTATTGCTGATAACTGCACCATTATGATAAATAGTGTAGGTTGGTTCAGGATAACCATCTGATTCACAGGTTATTGTCACATTTTGACCTTTTTTTACTGACATTGGACTGATGGTAATATTGGTTTGTTGTGGTGGATCTGTAAAGAATAAAATTAAATTCAATATTCTACACAAACGTTTATAATGAGATCTGAAATGTTGTCTTACAAACTTACAAGTAGCTTTCACTGTTACTTCAATTGATTTTTCATCTCTAAAACGTGGATCATTATAACTTTGTGCTTTACATCTGTAATTTCCACCATCATTCACTGTAACATTAGTGATTACTAATGTCTTACTTACAACTCCAACATCATCAATTATGTTGTTATCTTTATCAAACCATGTGACATTAGCAGGAGGGTTACCTCCTTCGCCTCTACATACACATGACACATTATCACCTTCATTCACAACCAGAGGATTTGAACAACTAATTAAAACATTTGGTTTCACTAAAAAAAGAGAAGATATCGCTTTATATAAGATGTCGGTCTAAGGCTTAAATGTTTCCGTCCCAGTCATGTAAAAGATGCATAATCAGTCATTAAAGACGGAAATTTACCATTACTCTTACAAAAAATTCAATTTTTATCCTTAATCCCTGAAGTGATCCCTCCAAAAAATATGAACACTAACCCATTTCATTTACGCATGCTTTGGCTAATATTATGGAATGCCTTACTGTTACAAAACTGCTTAAAGATAAAATCAATGTACAACAATACGCATGAAAAGGCCACTGTACAACTGATGAAGATGAATTTAAAGCAATTGATGGTAGCTGCTCAACTTTTTGTAAACTTTGAAAAGGTTTCAATTCAATAGACCACAATATTTTACAACATAAGTTGGAAAAATGAGCGTTTCTCCTGATCTTATTAAAAGGATTACAGCTTTTAAACTATGATTAAAAACAAGCTGTAAGAATTGGAGATGCTTTGTCTGAATGAAGAGCAATAATGGAAGAGGCACAAAGTTACGTATCATTTTTCATGTAATGTGATGAAAAGAGATTTACAGCAGAGTGGCCTCTAAGAATCAAGTTTGTTAAAAACATTTTCATCCTCGAGATTTTACCAAAAATTACCTACAGGATAATGAATATTCATGAATTTTAGTAACAATGACATGAAACTAAGGGGCTGGTCATACGAGCTCGTAATATTTTTATAAAAATTACAATTGCTTGTTAAGCACCACAAGTCTGTCATGTCGAAATTCTCAAAGAAGATTGATTGTTATAAAATTTCAAAATACAAATAAACTTGTCAGCAATTTTCAATAAGGCTGATTATTCAAGAAGCCAATCATGCTAACCAGTACTTTTTTTTTCATTTGAAAATATTTTTTTCTGTTGGGAGAATACTCTGGCAGCAGTGATAATGATGGTGAGTTTGAAAATGTGAGTGGGAAAATCGATGATAGTGATGACAATGATGATAACATGTCCATAGCTTCAATGCGAACAAGTAACCCGAGTTGGAGAAAAACTTCATTTGTTGTGTCAGAAACTAGTGTAACATTTACTGGTCCAAACGTTGAAGCCCCAGTGAACGTGGAAACAAAAACTCCTCTTCAATATTTTAAGCAATTTGTGAGTGATGATATGCTTCAAAATTTGGTGACAAGCACCAATGAATACAGTGTCCAAAAGTCTGGAAACTCAATAAAAATTAATAAGAAAGAGATAGAACAACTCATGGGTATGTTTTTTCATATGGGCTTGTAAGGATGAGTGGAGTTCGACAGTATTGGGAATCTGCTACTGCATACAGTTCTGTTTGTGATGTCATGAGTCATAATCTATTTCAGCTTTTGTTGAGAATGCTTCATTTTGTGAACAACTCGTTGGTATCTGACAATGACAAGAGAGACAAATTGTGGAAAATTTGACCATGGCTTGAAAAAATGAGAGAAAACTGCCAAAAACATATTCCAGAAGAGCACAATTCAATTGATGAAATGATGTGTAAATACAGAGGAAGGACAAGTCCCATTCGACATTATATCAAAAGTAAACCACGTCCATGGGGATTCAAGGTCTGGTGTAGAGCAGGCGACAGTGGAATATTGTACGATTTTGATGTTTACCAAGGTGAAAATGGGAAAAGCAGTGAATTGGGCCAAGGAGCCGATGTAATACTAAAGCTGACCTCAACTTTAGCATACCATGCCAATTATAAAATTTATGCAGATAATTTGTTCACAAGTTTCAAACTTCTCCTGCAACTAAAGGCGAGGGGAATGCATTATACTGGTACAGTACGAAAGAATCCATTGTCAGGATGTAACTTGAAGGAGGAAAAGATTTTCAAGAAGACGGGAAGAGGGTCTTATGATCACAGAGAAAAGAACAGCAACATTGTTGCGGTTCGTTGGTTTGACAATAAAGCTGTTACACTCTTTTCTACGCTTATTGGAATTGAGCCTATTATGTCAGCTGAGAGGTGGGATAAAAAGAAGAATGAAGGAGTCAAATTGCCCATGCCGGCAGTTATTGATCAATACAACAAGCATATGGGTGGAATTGATCTGCTTGATTCATTTCTTGCTCAATACCGTTTCAAGGTATGATCACGCCGGTGGTACACATATCTGTATTGGCATTTTTTGATGGTGGCAATTGTAAATGCATGGAATTTATACCGGCGTGATTACAGATTGCTGGGACTTCCAATAAAGGAAACGATGTACCGTCGAAACTTTCAGGCATCTGTTGCTTCATCGCTGGTGCATGTAAATTCAAAACGAAAAGTAGGCCGACCATCAACGTCAAGCACTCCAACACCAACCCCGCAACAACCAAAGAAAAAACAGCGATTGCCTACTGCTGATATTCGGAATAATGGCTACTGTCATTGGCCAAAGAAAAGTGAGAAACGTGGGCGGTGCAAACTTTGCATGAAAAACAACACAAACACTGTGTGTATGAAATGTGACGTTCGACTTTGTTTTGTTGAGGAACGTAATTGTTTCTATGATTTCCACCAGTGATAACATTTCAAAAAACATATTTTTTTTCATTCTTAAAAACCTTGTGTTGTGTTGACTAAAAAAATTATACATTTTGCCCTGCTATTTGAAGTACATATTCTTACAAACCATTCTGAAATGCATAAAGTTATCTTTTATGCCACAGTTAGACCGGTGTTACATATATGTCACGTAACACAATGAGGCTAAAATAGGACCTAACAACAATTTTTTCCCCATTTCAGCAAGTAATGACACCAAATGAGTAAAAAAGTCAATGGAAATAGTTTTAGCTATAGAAAATCACATTGTGGGTTCTACAGAGTTAAAATGATCGACATAAATCATATTGTAATTATATTAAATGTTCAAATAAAAAAATACCAATTTCTAAGATTGATAAAAACACAAAATAATAAAAAAAAAAGGGATGACTTACTTGCAACGAAAACTTTGACTTTGGATATAAAGGAGATAACGCACGGCCCTTTCTTGTTAATCGAAACTCATACGTTCCATAACTATGAGTAATTGCAGTGTTGAAAGCGGAATTTGTGCACGTAACTTTATTACATTGAAGGTTTAAAGACAATGGCCAAAAGTGTTTGTGCTGAACCATTACTACTGTGATAAATTCTACTGTCCAAATCACTTTCTATCATTAAATGTCCATGTTATATTTTGTGTTTCTCCAGGTAGAAATGTAAAACTTGTGCCAGAGGGAGGTGATTGAATAATTCCTATAATGACAAGAAATAAAAGATAAATGTATAAAATCACGTTTAATTCAATCCATTAAATATCAATTATTTGATAGGATAGATAACAGAAAATTAACATATAGAACTCGTAATTTAATTCGGAAATAACTCCCGTGCCAAATTTATAAATTTATTTTTCAGTGTCTAAAAATGAGGGCATTATGTCGTCATTGATAACAATTTATATTTTTCGGAAAAAATTCAAATATCAGAGCCTTTGCTAGCTGAGTAAAATAGTTTAGTGTTATAAAAAAGAGAAGTCGTTCCATTCCTGATGACTTTGATGTTAGTTGAAAACTTAAAAGTAGTTACACATTC